CGAGTTGGGCTCAAAAAAACTCTGAAGCTCGACTTTGAGTTGCATATTTTTCTTGATATTTTCAAATAATAACTCAATCATTTGGCTTGAAGTCTTGAAAAAAAAACCAAACACACATCTACCTGCTGTCATTTGTTTTCCTCTTCCAGCAGTACACGGTAGGTGGATGTACCTGGATTAATCAGGAATAATCGTTATAAATTCTGATCACGATTCCTCATCATGATAAATGTGTGAATAAACCACAGCTACCCGGCATACGATCAGACTAAATACTTTAATTATTGACAGCAATATTTCAATTCCAAAGTTGAAAAGCTGTTCTACAGATGTTTATCAGGATAGGACAGAAGACCAGGACAGATTCAGATACATTTTTGTTTTTTTTCCACATCAACAACACAGAACTGAAAAAGACAGCAACAACCGAACAATCACACAGCTGATGAGCCGTCACCATGACTACCACTTCCCCGTCCTAAGCACAAAGGTGTGTTTTCACTCTCCGACATGTCTGTCTCCTGTCTTCTTTTAATCATCAAGGGCTGACCACATTTTCACTAATAGCAGCAAAACATAATTTACAAAAATAGAACGGAAAACTCCTCTTATTAACCCCTCTTCTATCCCTCCTCTCTCGGTTAGTTTATTTTTCTTTTTTTTTTCCCCCTCCTCTATTCCATTTTTATATCAACCAATTATGTTCTTTTCTTCTGTTGCCCTTTTTAATTCTCACCTTTACCTACATTTTTCAAACTGTCCCCTCTACATACGGTATCTCCAGCTCCCCTCCATATCTTTCTCTCCTTCTTTTTCCTCTTCTCCTCTTCACTCAACTACTCATACTGCCGCTCCCCTTCACTGTTATTCTTCCCCTCGCCTTCTCCCCCCCCTTCTACCACCCTCTATTCACCTTGTCGCCCTTCTCCCCCACCTTCTCGGAACCTGCTCTTACTCCCTCAGGTACTCTATCATCTGCTGCATCAGTAACTGCGGTTCGTAAGGAACGGTGTCCCTCCTTTGACGCCTCTGGTTTTCATGGTTTTCTAGCATAGCTGTGATGTCGTCAATGCGTTTGATTCTTTGCAGTGCACCGGTGGAGGGGCGTGGGTTATTCTCCTGCTCCTCCTCTTCCTCTTCTTCCAGTCTCTTCACCCTCAAGAGTGAGGGTGCGATGCTGGGTGGCGGAGGTGTGACTTTGTCAAGAGAGCGTCGGTACCGCCTGTGGGTGGGCGCATCCGAAAGGTCACGCCTTCTGCGAGCGGACAAGTTCATGGCAACATTTTTTGGACCGATGCTGGACAGTATTCTGGCAACCATGTGCCTGGGACGGAGACAAACAGAATGTGTGAACGACCCATGTTTTGTTTTCCAGTTCACCGGGCCTAGCTGGTGTATAAATCCGACGTCAGGTCGCTAACATTAGCCCTTAATCATTACCTGAGCATGTCCTGGTCTCTGTTTAGTCCTGGTCCATCCTGTTGAAGTGTAGTCTGTCTTGCCCTCTGCAGCAGAATTTGGTCCATCTGGGGATGCATCCTGTCAAGCAGAGATGATCAATTATCACACACCGTTAGTCACAAATGATTCGAACACCGATTTGAATGATCTGTCGACAAGCTAGCAATTTCTCACTTGTCCAGCAAGGTTTGAGCCAGCTGGGGATCCCTGAGGCCCCAGCGAGCAGCCGGGGGCCTCGCTATGGTTGGTCTGTGCCCCATCAGGCCGTAGTCTGTCTGGCTTACGTCCTGGAAGTCAGCGCGTGGCCCCAGGTTATCTTCCTCATCCTCCTCCTCCTCAATCACCTCCACATCCCCTGGGCTAATCATTCCCATGGCGTGTCCCTCAGCCAGGAGGCGGAGCAAAGCTTCCAAATATGCTGTGGGGATGCGTCTTTGGTTCGTTAGTCATGTGTTGCTCATCATTCTCTCTAGGACATTGTCCAAATCATTATGAAAAATGTTCACCTGCTTGCTGCTCCTCTTCTTCCCACCGCTGGTTTTTATCTGCTAATCGCTGCAAAGCCTCGTCCAGTCCCCTCGCTCTCCAGGCATCGGGCTGGTAATATAAATCATTCACCCTTCTCTGGGAGGCAGGATATGACATCATTTGGTCTTTGTATGGCAGGAGGTTACGGACTTCTCGACGCTGGCGTCTGACTCCGTCCACTTCAACATCCAGACCACGCCTACCTCCATAGGCTGACGGCACAGGCTGACGAGGAGAGAGGTCATTGTTAACCCCACCATCATCGATGGTTTTTTTTTTAAATCATAATCCATCACTGTCTACATCACTATCAACAACCCCTTGACATCATCACTATGGATGTCATCATCACTGTGTGATCAACATTATCAACTTGATGAACCTCAAGTCGTCAACATCACTATCACCGTCGCAGTGATTATTATAATGAGCTTATTATTTAATATTAATAAGTATTAATATTAATTAGTATTAATAATATTATAATAATAATAAAATATAAAAAACATAATAATAATATAATATATAATAATAATAATAATATAATATAATAATAATAATATTAATTAATATTAATATAATATTAACATTAATATTAATAATATTAGTATTATAATAATAATATTAATATATTAATATTAATAATATTAATAATCATATTAATCTATATTATATAATGAGCTTATTATTATAATCATCTTCTTCAACAGGGGTGTCAAACTCATTTTCACCGGGGAAGGTCACATAAGAAATACAGTTCCCCTTGAAGGCACAGTTGTAAAGGAAGACATGTATAAACTCCGTAATAATGTATTTTATAAATGTTTCTGCAACTGATTATTATTGATTCAAGTTACAAATATTGCTCATTGCTTTGTAATAATAATAAAAAAAATTTTTTAAATTTTTTTAAACTCACGCAGGCCATACAAAATGACCCGGTGGGCCGAATTTGGCCCCCAAGCCTTAAGTTTGACGCATGTGATCCACAACAGTCACATCATCATTGAAATGATCGACTGTACATCGTCATCGAACACTCCATGGTCACCATTTTCATTTTCATCATCATCATCATCATCATGTCAACACTCCATGGTCACCATTTTCATCATCATCATCATCATCATCACCACCACCCACCATATCATCATTATCATCATCATCACACACTGTCCATCTTTTCTGTCCACACCAATCAGTTAACTTTGCTTTGCACAAGACACCATGAAGACGATGTGCTGTTGCCATGGCAACACTGAGACATTCTCTTCCTGACTCTCGCTAATGGGATCTGTGTGTGCTGGGTGTGATGCATCGGTGACATTTAGACCATAAAACAATTTTGTCCTAGAGCAAAATCAACGTCATGCCATTTGGAGCTATGCCAATGCTAAACACCTACTACCAACAGTGTAATACTTTTTTTTTTTTATCCATTTATGCCAATTTCCCACTCCACTTTAGTTGTCCTTTCCAAAACATATCTCACAGTACCTGCAATACTCCTCCATTCTTAGTTTCAAGTCTGGTGTAAAGATGACCTTGGTACTTTTTCTGCTGAGTCATGTTCCTGTTGCTAAATATAAAACTGTTGTGTATGCATGTAAATTGTAATTGCATGTATTGTTCCTGCGTGCTAAATGCTACGCTACGGCACAACAGCTCAATGCAGTGTTGCACGACATCAGAATAAAAGAGCCAACATTTTCCTAGCGAGAATTCTCATCGCGTAGGGATTTTACCTAGAACATTCGACATGTGAAATTTAAACGCACAAACCCACAGGCTTATCTTTAGAAGACTGCTGCAACCCATGTCATTGCTGTGGCCCTGCTGCCATGGGTTACCATCTCCTGTCACCATGGTGAAAGGAAATGGAAAGACACACACTTGTGTACGCGTGACAACTTTTTTCTTTTTTTTTTTTTTTAGAACTCGTCGTGCCAAATTTGCTAGTCCCCTACGTCAACGTTAGCCATCCTGATGGAAGGTGCTAATGCTACATTTGATACCAATTAATTACCACCCTAAATGTCCTGAAAAGGTCTTTTTTTAAATTTTTTTTTAATAGACAAAACAGGCCCTCTTAGTTCACACAGGGAGATGTAATTACAAGAGAAAAAAACAGCAAAATCATCCTGGTCAGATTACTGCGACACATGTAACAGACATGGAAACGCACACTATTCCCTCTCTCGCCCGGACAGGGACACGGACACAAAGACAATGTCCTAATCTCTTACCTGGACGCTGTCAATGAGGGCGGTGGTTACCAGCAGGAGGCAAAGAGATGAAGCCATGCTGCCGTCAGAACACACACCGACGGCAGCGCACACACAATAACAGACAGAGAAGGTGGGGGGGGGGGGGGGGGGGTGATGGCGTCAGAGAGGAGATGAGATACGGAAAGATAAGGTAGAGGGAGGAGCAATACATGTAAAAGTTATCTGTGGCCACTTCACTCCATCATCTATGCTTTTGTTAAATAAACTCGTAATTCTTTCTCCCCCCCAGTTCTTTGTCGTGGAATACGAGAGTTATTATCATTAAAAGGAAATCACTATTCATTGCAGACATGGCTTTCAAATGGTATAATGTTTGTCTTGACATATTGACCTCAAATGGATTGCCTTTGTCTCTTGATGAATTCATCAGAAAATGTAATGTTGCAGTTTTAATATATATGTATATATATATATAAGATGTGTAACGCATTTCCACTTCCATTACTTCATCTAACACATGCCTGCCTACACTATCTATCAATCAATCTATCTATCTATCTGTCAATCAATCTATCTATCTATCTATCTATCCATCTATCTATCTATCTATCTATCTATCTATCTATCTATCTATCCATCTATCCATCTATCTATCTATCTATCCATCTATCTATCTATCTATCTATCTATCTATCCATCTATCTATCTATCTATCTATCTATCTATCTATCTATC